CCTTATTCTTTTTTCCATGTCAGTTAATGCTTGTTTGCAAACGTTATCAAGAATCATATAATAAAATATCTTGAAGACAAGAAAATTGATGCAAATATTCATTTAAAGATGTAAAAAGCATTCACTTTATTTCATGAATTCAGAAAGTAAAAATTGTTTACATCAATAACTCATATTACAAATCATTAACTATTCTAAAGCTGAAAATATAGTGTTATTACGTGGAATTTAGTGTTATAATTTCTCATAGTTTATTTTATATTTAAGAAAAATAAATAACATTTCCGTATTCTGGCTGAAAATATACAATGGATTGGCCCAAGTATCAATGATAGTATGGCAAAATGTTTTAACTTTGAATTGAACAAATATTGATAAAATTTAAATTTTGAAGTGATGAATGTTTGCATAGCAATTTACTTCTATATTTTTTTAATATATATATATATATATATATATATATATATATATATATTATAAATCCGTGGTAATAGTATACATTGTGATAGTTTACATTCAATAGTACTATGCTAAAAAATTATCTTATTCATCTCAAAAAACTAAACTCATTTCACGAACTGAATATTATAACAAACCAAAGTCAAGTAATTATCCCTTCTTAGGGGATGCTTGAATCTAATTTTGTTTGGATTTTTTTGTTTGGCTTGGTTAATTTAGAAAAATGTGGTATAGTTATTTTTAGTGGAATTTTGAGTTTGTATTAAATAATATTTAAAATAAAATAATCAAGATTGATTTGATGTAAAAGTAGAAAAAAAGTTGATATAAAGTGATGATTAATTAAAATAATTATGTGAGTGGACACGTGTTGATATATAATCTTTGAACATTTTACTCATCGTATACAATATGTTAATTTCGTGTCACATCAGTTGGTGCCTTGGTGGACATACATATCAACACGTGTCCACTATAGGTAGGATAACGAGAGTAGGAGTGTAAACGAACCAATAACCGAGCTCGATCATGGCTCGTTTGTCAATATTAACGAGTCGAACTTGAGAATAAATGAGCTGAAGTATAAATAATTAAGTAAAAAATCTTATTTCGAGCATTAATGATTCTTCACAAGTTGAGTGGAAATCGACTGTTTTAACTAAACGATGTTTGAATGAGTTCGAACTTGGATCGTTAATCATCAAACGAGTCGAGTCAAACTTATATCGAAATAATCAAACCAATTTTTGATAAACAAATAAAAGTATAACTAATAATATTGGTAATGATTAGTACTATAAAATTTGTTTCCTTAATTAAACAAAAGTTGACAGTACATCAATTTTGAAAAGCATGCAAGGCAATGTTTTTTAATTCATGATAGAAACGGTATTCACACGGCAACTTAGAGACGAATTTTAAATTTTAATATTTTCGGTTAAATCAATTTAAGAGTCAAAATTGGTGGACAACACACAGAATTCCTTAAAGGAAATCATCAGATCAGCACCTTTAAATTTTTCAGTCCGTGAAATTTTCAAAAGAAAATGCATGTTTGAAGATTTTATATTTCATTTTAATTTTGTGTCCATATATTAAAATGTAAATACGTTTATGCCATATACAAGGCATACATATTTAATTATCTAAAAAACACAGGCAAAAATCTAATTTTGGTCCGCTAATTTGTCTATTGTCCATTTTTGGTACACTATCTTTTCCCTCATAAAAAATGATCCATTTTGTTATATTTTTCATCAGTTTTAGTACGCTACTCCAATTGACGGGATTACAAGATGACGTGGACCGAGATTGGAACTACGTGGAGGGATAAGATATTGACATGGTAGGATAAAAACCTGATTTGGCATCTCGTAATCCCGGGTCACGAGATTAGTGTACTAAAACTGATGAAAAGTTTAACATAATAGACCATATTTTATGAGGGGAAAGATAGTATACCAAAAATGGACAATAGACAAGTTAGCGGACTAAAATTGAATTTTTACCAAAAAAACACATGTTGTTTAAGTTATCCATTGATCAGTTTAAAAAAAAATAAAACGGTGAATATAAAATTGAACAATAAGGCTGCTAATATATTATATACATCGATCATACATTTCAACATGTATACGTATTTTTTGAAACATATTTTAATATCATACATTAATTTGTGAAAATAGAAATATGAATTACACAATTGATGCTAGTTACATGTGTACAAAAGATCATACCACATTATTCTAAATAAAAAATTATGGTTAGGATGTCTGACTTTTACTTGTATACAAGATAGTAAATAAAATCCTATATGTTAATGTACCTCTTGGAAGGACCAAAAAAAATAAAATAAAAAATACCAAGATTAATCACTCACGTCTATATAAACATAATAGATTAAACACAACCGGTGATCCATGGCAAATTAGCACAAAACAAGAACAACTCTTAATTTTCTTCCTTTAAAAAAAAAAAAAAAAAAATGGATTTAGGTGAAAGCCTAAGATCAAACAGCAAAAAAGGCGAAAGCTTTAGGGCTCACAGTTCAAATCTATGGAGGCACACAGGCATTGAGGTTTTCTCAAGATCGTTTCACGAAGAAGACGACGAGGAGGCCTTAAAATGGGCTGCGCTCGAAAAACTCCCGACTTTCGACCGACTTCGAAAAGGGATTCTTTTCGGGTCGAAAGGCCCGGGAGAGATCGACATTCAAGACCTCGATTTTCACAAAAAACGGGCTTTGGTCGAGAGGCTCGTTAACACGGTGGAAGATGATAATGAAAAGTTCTTGTTGAAGCTAAGGAATAGGATAGATAGGTATAATAAGCTTGTGTTTTTTTAGCTTACTTCTTTAAGTAAATTATTGGTTTATAGATATGTTATTGTGNTGTTGAATTTTGCAGAGTTGGAATTGATATTCCTACTATTGAAGTGAGGTATGAGCATCTAAATGTTGATGCAGAGGCTTATAGTGCAAGCAGGGCTTTGCCTACTTTTGTCAACTTCAATATCAATTTGGTAGAGGTAAAAAAAAAATAAATTAAAATATGGTTTTCATTTGTAAATTACAATCACTTATTTGTGTGAGTGTGTGTGTGTGTTTTTTTCCAATTTATGTATATATTCTAGAACTTATTTATTTTTTATTTACTGGTGTCAGGGGATTTTGAACTCACTTCACATACTCCCAAGTAGAAAGAAGCCTTTCACAATCCTTAAGGATGTAAGTGGAATAATCAAACCATGCAAGATGACTTTGCTTTTGGGTCCTCCAAGTTCTGGAAAATCAACCCTTTTGCTGGCTTTGGCTGGAAAACTTGATCCCACTCTCAAAGTAAATAAAACCCATTTCATTTCATTTCTTGATTATTATTAGTATAAAAAACACGCATGATACATATTACATTCAACGTATTTTTCTATTTATTGTGTGATTTTAAATGTGTCACAGACTTCAGGAAGAGTGAGTTACAATGGGCATGAAATGAATGAATTTGTGCCCCAAAGAACAGCAGCATACATTAGCCAAAACGATCTGCATATCGGCGAAATGACTGTACGAGAGACCTTGTCTTTCTCGGCCAGATGTCAAGGAGTCGGCTCACGATACGGTTCGTGCAATTAATTGTCTCACACAAAAGCTTCTGTTAGTCCGTCTAACGAGTCACAACATGTCAATTTGGACTCAAATAATTTGACCATTTTAACAAAAATACCTACTTATGACAATTGCATATTTTTTTTACATGTTTTAGTGACTTTTGTAAACAACTTTTTTACATGTTTTAGTGACTGTTGTAATTACTAATTACTAAAAAATTGTTACTCTATCTCATACAAAAGCTACGTACTTTTAGTCGGTCTAACGAGTAACATGTCGATTTTAACTCAAACCGTCAGAATGTTTTAACAAAAATAGCAGATTCTTTGACCTCACAATTTTTTACTGTGTTTTAGTGACTTTTGTAATTAGTAATAAGTAATTAGTCCAAAATTGTGTTAAAGCAGAGATGTTGGCAGAGCTGTCAAGAAGAGAAAAAGCAGCAAACATTAAACCAGACGCTGATGTTGACATCTACATGAAGGTAATAAAAAATAACCGTAGGGTAGTATCAAATTATTCAAATTCTGAATAGCTTTATATACAATTCTTGAATAAATTAAAGTTTGACTTTTCTTGTTTGATTTGGCTGCCTTTTATAATCGATTAGTTTATCAAAACTTAGAGCATGATTGTTTACAAGATTTTTCAGAAAAATTCTAAATTTTAATTCAACTATTTTTTTTAACTCAATTTTAACTCAATCCCATTATCATCAATATAATTAAATAACATCAATCAATCACACACACCACATCAACCTTAATTCACTATTCATCCACTCACATTATTTTAACTAACTATCACTTCAAATCATCTCTATCATATTTTTACATCAAATCAATTTTAATTATTTTATTTTAAATATTATTTTAATATACTCACTAACACCTAACCATACCACCTTTTTTAAAATTAATCAAACAAAATTAAAAAATCTAAACAAAACCAAAAATTTTCATTAACAAACATGCTCTTAAAATTTGTCATGTCATAATTTGTGCCGGTTTATTTGTTCAATCAGATACGAATATTTAATGTGACATATGATATGAGAATTCATAGGACAAAGAAATGATATTAATAACAGAAAAAAACAGATCAATTATGGCCAATTTCAGTGAATGTGATAGGTGGCGGGTCAATATGTTTCTAATATAATAACGCTACAAATAACATAGTACTTTTTTTTTTTTAAAAAAAAAAGGCAATTTCAACTTAACAACATTCATAAATCATAATTTAAAACTTCGCCTACTTATATTACACGTGTCAAATTTTGTGATAATCATATGGTCAAGATGTATGAGGTTACAAAGTATGAATCCTTCAAGTTACAATTTACCACAAAAAACATTGAAAGTAATAAAAAAAAACGCGTATAATAGAGATTGCAACCAATGTTTTATCCCATAATAAAATGGCTTCAACATTAAAATATGTTTTTTTAATGAAGTATGTCATTTCATATGATATGTCAGATTTATTGAAAACACGTCAAATTAATCTTACAACAGACAACAAACACGTCAGATTAATCTTACAACAGACAACAGTGACCGAGTTCAACAAATATGCGAATTTATTGAAAAATTCATAATTTGTAAATACTAAGTTCAATATTTTTATTACATATAAAGTGACATAAACATATTTGATCTGATTAAAAAAACTAGAAAATTTCTTACATTTGCAATACTAATGTAGGCAGCAGCTACAGAAGGAGATGAAGCAAATGTGGTCACAGACTACATTCTCAAGGTACATTACACTGCAAAGCCTTAGCTAAAAGCCTAAAACCAAACAACCTTTCTAAATTAAACAACTAACATTAGAATTCTCAAATATAATTCATTTTCTTGTCATAAAAAAAAAAAAAAAAAGGTTTTGGGGCTCGACGTTTGCGCCGACACTATGGTTGGTGACGAGATGATTAGGGGCATTTCCGGCGGACAGAAAAAACGAGTCACAACCGGTAAAATAAATCTCATAATCTTCTTCGGATAACTTTTCAAATAAGCTCGTTGAATTTTTTATTTCAGTTAGCTTATCTCAGCTAATTTTGTCAAACACTTTTATCATATAAGCTAGTTTTTCAGATATAAGTCATAACTTACAAACTATAAGCTCGAAAATAACTTATAAGCTATCAGCTAGTTTATCAGCTCGAATTACTTACGAATAATCCGAGAAAAAAAATGAATCGTTTTCACAGGGGAAATGATGGTGGGGCCCGCGAAGGCGCTCTTCATGGACGAGATATCGAACGGTCTCGACAGCTCGACTACTTACCAAATTGTCAACATGTTGAGGCAGTACGTACACATCATGAAAGGCACAGCTTTCATCTCCCTTCTTCAGCCGGCTCCCGAGACTTACGACCTTTTTGACGATATTGCCCTCTTGTCCGACGGTCAAATCGTCTATCACGGTCCACGCGAAAACGTGCTCGACTTTTTCGACTCCATGGGGTTTAAGTGTCCCGAAAGAAAAGGAGTTGCCGATTTCTTGCAAGAGGTATGTATAAGCATAAATATACACATTCTCACATAATTTAGTTGTTTAATTAGTTGCTAATTACTTGTTAGAGCTGTTAAACAAAACTAGTATGAGTCCCGTGCACTGCACGGGTAAGAGATATTCATTAATATTTATAAATTAAAATTTTTTTATTAAATGATATTTGTAAATTAAAAATATAGAATCAAATACCTATATTAATTTGTTGAAAATATTATATAAAGTTTAAATTGTGAAAAATTACATAAAAATGTCTATTTAAAATTAGTACACAACCCATGCGATACATATAACTGATAATAAATTACATTATATTCGTTTCAAAATAAGTGTCATTTCAAATTTTTTATTCAGAAATTCGATTTGACTATAATGTGATTACATAAAACAATTATTTTGGTAAAATTTTATCATATATTTAACAACATATGTGAATAATAATTATAAATATAAAATTTATATTGTTTCATTACTTAAAATAATTTATTTTTGTATAAACTATTCAAATAAAAAAAAATTAAGTAGTTGAGTAATTTATTGAACTATAAATAATTGACTATTTCATTCACGTCCAAGTTAATATTGACCCGTAAGTTATGAATAATTGTTTTTTTTTTTATTTTTAATTTTAAATAAAAATATTTTTATTTTTTTATATATTATATACCAAATTTAAACTATGCAACTAATAAAGGTAATAGCTGCAAGTTTTGTCAATATATTATATTTCACATTTAAATTATTCAACAAATAAAGGTAATAGCCGCAATATTTGACCAAAATAATTTTGTACATAAATTACATTAACTTAGGCAGGATTTTTCAAACTTTGGCAAGAAAAAAGAATTGCCCAATTTAGTAATTCTGAATTTTTAGGCGGGAAAACCAAATATTTTTTTATTACTTTTTAGTTACTATTTCAAGTAAATATCATTGTCTTTTTATATATTAATAGATGTCATATTTTTGTAGCGTGCTATGCCACGGGATTTCACGATTTGTTGATTATTAGATATTTAATGATAAATTGTTTGAATCAAATAATTTGTTGACATTAACGTGAAAAAATAATATTATTTAGTAGTAAATTTAAATTTATATCATTCATGATATTAAATATTCAATATTTGATTTTGTGTTTATATTAAGTACATATTACTTAGGTCACATAATTTCATAATTTTTAATTACTTATTTTGATTAATAATCAAATAATTTATTCCTTTTTCTTTTGAAAATCTAAGGACTTTTTTTTTTCTCCCCCAACGAAATGAAATGAGTCTAAAATAATATATAATTGGATGTGATTTACTTGCCAAACATTGGATGTGATTTATTGGTTAATAAATTATTTAAGCGGGACATGCAAAAAATTTCAAACATATTTGCTTAAAATTGTTCAAAACGAAAAATAGAAGCAGGAAAGAATGACTAAAGAAGCGGGAAATGAAATATTTTTTTCAAAGTTTTTCAAATAGTTTTTCTTCTCCTTATTATATAGTAATAGATGAACTGCTCGATTTTTCTGGCTCATTTAGGTCACATCGAAGAAAGATCAACAACAATATTGGGCAAACAAAAACGAGCCGTACCATTTTGTCTCTGTTACTGAATTTTCGGAGGCATTTCAATCGTTCGAAATCGGCCGGAGGCTCGGGGACGAGCTAAGCATCCCATTCAACAAGACACAAAACCACCCAGCGGCATTAACGACCGAAAAATACGGGCTCGGAAAAAAAGAGCTCCTCAAAGCCTGCATGGATAGGGAACTCTTGTTGATGAAGCGAAACTCTTTCGTCTACTTCTTCAAAATATTCCAGGCAAGAAAAAATTTTTCACCAAAATG